TGGTCAGTGGAGATTGCTTGTCTTCCATGTGTGAAGCAGGATCCCATCCCCAATTCCGCAAAAACCTGGTCAACATCAGGTTAGTCTTTTTTGGGGGGTGGGTAAGGATTAAGGCAGAGTGAATTCCATTATCAGGCCAATTAAAACTGGCTCAAATTTGATTATAGTTTCTTGGATCCTGATTGACAGAAAGTCATGACGATTTTGGTTTGACTTTAGTATGAGTGACTCCCTACTTTTCTAAGGCCTTGTGGGTGCTGGGCAAGGCAACTGAGCTACAGATGAGCCCCACTCTGAGTCTACTTTGCAGGGAGAGGGGGGTGACCCCATTTTGGATTCTCTTCTGACCAGTTGGGGCCTGGTGCAGGAGCTTAGTCCAAAACAAAGGTCCTGGGCTGAGCTCAGCTGGTAGCATGTGAGCTCAGCATTCCTGAGGCCTGGGCTCCATCCCCAGCACCAAGATAGAAGCAAATAGAAAATGAACGTCTGAGGCCATTCTTGTTGGTCAAGACATCACAGTACAGGCTCCTGCCCAGGGGCCACAGGCACCGACCGACATGAGACCCCTGGGAAAGAAACTCGGTCCCCAACACGGCCGCACATCTCTTCTCCACCTGCCACCAGGAAGGGCCATGAAGGCTGCTCCAGCTCTGCGGCAGGTGCTGCTCACACTGAGTGGGCGACAGAGGGCAAAGGACAGAAGGTGCCCAGCCAGGGGGAGAAAAAAGGTGGGGAGATGTCCAATACACAATAACTCCCAGGAAGTTGGAATTCAGCCCCGAATGTCAGGCATTTAGATTGTGTTTATTATGTACTCAAATATCCCAGACACCCCTTGTTCATTCATCAATAAGGTCACTAAGCGCTGCAAAGACGCTGTGTGACCAGAGAAGGCGTCCCTCTCTGGAGCTTACACTGCAGCGGGCTCAGCGTGGGTTGTCCTGGGGAGACCCTTTCCTACGCAGGATCCCAGTCAAGTTCCTGCACACAAATATTCGGACCTGTTACCTGGCCACTGTAGAGGACCTGGAAAGGCAGGAGAGTGCCAAAGGAATTCAGAGATGGTCAGTGTTTGTTTGTTTGTTATGAACATTAGCCGGGTCAAAATAACTGCTATGAACATGTGCAATACTCCCATAACTTAAGCACAACGTCACAGAGCATTTTAAAAGACCAGTTTTAAATTTTACTTTTCCTCACACAAACACCAGGGTGTGTTGGGCTTAAACACCATAATTTCCCACAAACCAGCCCCTGCCCTGCTGTGTTCACCACCACCATAATTTACTTGTTAAAATCAGGAATAATAATGAGTTTGTCTATGGTAGCAGCCTGAAAAACGGACTCAGCAAGATGTGTTTAGGGGACAGGCTGGGAGGCTGACCGAACAAGACATGTGGAGGGGAAGAGAAAAGGTCACAGGCAGCCTGGGTGGCCTCAATAACTTCCTGTGGGGGGACCAGACTCTGGGTATTTCCAGGCCCTTAGAAATCACCTCAGCATCCTCACTTGACAGAGGAGGAACCAGTCCAGGGAAATAAGTGACAAGGTCACAATGTGCAGTTGCAGAACTGGGGACAGAACCCAGGTCTCCTGATTCTTGGCCAGGGTTGCTTCTATGCAGAACTATCCATTACAATCTTTTTTTTTTTTTTGGTATTGGGGATTGAACTCAGGGGCCCTCAACCACCAAGCCACATCCCCAGCCCTATTTTGTATTTTATTTAGCGACAGGATCTCACTGAGTTGCTTAGTACCTTGCTAAGTTGAGTTGTGAAGCAGGCTTTGAACTCTGTGATCCTCCTGCCTCAGCCTCCTGAGCCTCTGGGATTACAGGCGTGTGACACCGACCCGGCTCCATTACAATCTTATACACTGTGTTTCATATAATCCAATTGGGTCAACCAGTTTCCAGAACATCTGGCCATTTAAAACGTCTCTATGGTGAGACAATTAACACATGTACACATACATATGTACCTATCATGCTTAACTTATCAATTAGGCACAATAAGAAATTCCCAAGAACACCTAATAATAAAACAGAAAAATTATAACCACATACAATGAAAAGTTCTTTGAAACTTATGCATTATTTCTGGAATTGCCAACTCAACATTTTCAGACTACAGAGAACTGAAACTGAGGACTCCTATAATATATACCTTCTGG